TTTTGCAAAACCAGTTGAGAATAGGACTGATAAAAACACCACTAAAACATATCCACAGATATAACTAATCTTATCGATCCCTCAGAATTACAACCAATTTTCCCTGCAAAATTGGAGAGGTGGAGAAGGGCACGAACAGTAGGAAACGAGGCCCACTCTTGCCTGCTGCCCTACCTGGGATAATATCTGGCACAGTGGTATACCTTAGATGAAGCGCTTCGCTGATGACCCCACTAATGCATAACCGTATAGATGGCTCTTTGTTGATTCTTTCCTTTCAAGGCTCATTATATAAATACACTTGAAAAACTGCGTCTTTATTATGCATAAGAAGTTTGACCTGAATTCAAACGAAACAGTAAGCTCGGTCTTGTGGAGTTTCCAGCTATCTATTGAATCTCTATAGCCTCATAGATTAAATAGAAAAAGCTGCATTACTTGTGCATGGAACACGGCACTAGAAAAAACCGTAGGCGTTGCCGACATTAATAAATCCATCTGCTTTTAAATCCAGAGAGATTGATATTTCTCCCGCAGGGCCGGTTACTTCAAATTGAAATACTGAGCTGTTCAGAAGAAATTCAAGAAATCAAATTGCATGCGTCTGATGTGACAATACATGAACACTTAAAAAACGAATATTCCTTTGATCTTGATTGAACAAGAAATAACTTAACTTTTATGCGACGACCCGTTCGTTTTCGAAATGTCAAGGTGATCTTACGACCAGTTTTTTTATAAACTGTGCTTAATAGTTCTGCATGGACGCACATTTCAGCTGGATCATTCACCATTCTACCCACCGCTCCCAACCGCTGGGGCGCACCCGGATGGACGCAACGTGAATGCATCTGATGAACGCAGCAGTTCTCAATGGCATTTTCATCTGCCGATATGGAGGGGTCGGTGGCTGTACCCACCTAATGCCCACCCATTCCCATTTTTGGGTGTCACTTATAAATGTTAGGAAAAGTGTTGCAATTTTTACGCTCAGACTAATCCCTTTGAGGTAACGGCTCCAAATTAGTGTAAATGGAGCTTATGATGACGGAAGAGGCCCATTTAGTAAAATGTCGTAGTTTTTTAACCCTCACCGTGACAGGGGGAGGCGTTAATGCACCAAACCCCTATGGATTTTTTGAGGACGCCTCGTCGGCATGTTGTGCAATCACACTAAAATCTTCGGTTACCTATGGGGAATTCATCGCGCGTATTCTTACACCTAAAACGTGTTTCAAGGTTTCCTCATCTCGGAGCACTTCGCTTTTTGAGGAATGCTGCAAGACGATCGACGGGCGGCGCTGCAGGCGGACGGCAATCGACGATACCGTGGAACGTGCGTGGCTGGCCAACATTGCTACATTGAATGTAGTGTGCCAAAGTTGTGTGACGTTTTTAACTGAACTAGCCATCTTGAAGATCATTCGCCGCAATTGGCAGCTCTGTCCGTCTTACGACCCTAACCCCTATGGTTTCCCAGCCACACGTTCGCAAAGATGTGTGCTTTTTCGTGCAGACCATTTCAAGGTCATCCGGGCATCCATGACGCTATGATAACGTCATGCAAATCCCGCCTGTCTTTCCACTGACCAAGCGGCGATCAAGGTAAAAAAAAGATAACTGTCAAATTGTTCATAGTTGACTTTGTGAGCACGATTTTTAGATAACACGGCTGTCAATAAGCTCCCACTCATTGTTTTGCGGAATACGATGACGCAATCAAACAATGACGTATTGAGGAGCATATTTACTTAATTGGGAAATTTTGTTATCTGTAGCAGTCTACCGCTTCAAAGTATTCCAACAGCTATAAGTGAGCTTCTTTCATCGCATCTGATGCGTGCAATCGGGATCCACGATGCGAATTGCCGAAGCCAGGTGCAAATCGTTTTTCCTCAGACGCCAGTAGCTTTAAAAGCCACAAACTTTCATCTCAGGCATAGCAAAGACAAATCAAGGACTTCATTCCCATGATGACCCCGCCATCCTACCTAAATCTGCAACGCTTTTTGTCCAAATTCGCATCACTTTTTGAGACGTCTATGCGTTTACGACTTGTGGTGTTTTGACTTCAACGTTTGATTTAAGTGGTAAAAATAAATCGAAGCATAATGTTGCCACTATTCTATATGCTAACTATATGCTTGAAACGCATACAAATATAGATCACTGTACTCATAATTCAACAAGGAATTGGCCTGTTCAGGTGAGTCGCTACAGGGTACGGCCGCATATGCATAAGGTGGTGATGAAAATTAGACATTTGACCTGCCATAATAGCGTAAATTCTTGATCTAACAAGAAATCAACTAGTACAAATCGCGCGACCTCGTTAAGACCAATCCATCGGTGTTTTCTACTTAGCTTTATTACCATTTGTGTGAAAACGGCGGGTGGTCTCATCGATTCTCTTCATACAAGTCTGCGTTATGAAAAACGACGAGTGGGGCGGAGGGGTAATATCTACAGGACTTTTCGTAGACGTGTTACCAAATTGCGTAGCCCCACCTGTAACGTTACCAACATCTGTATCCAACTGCAGTTCGTCACCCATTCGATATGAAGACACATGGGTTTACCCGACCTGTGAAAATCCTGTAGCTGTGATGTACAGCTGGAATCACACAGGAAGCATTGGATCGCATGCCACCTGCGGTTTTTACGAACACCAAATACAAATCCCGCAGGTCTCAATCTATACGACGTTGCTCAATACAGTGATAAACGGTGACCCCACGAACATCATGCAGATTCCATGCGATGTAAAAATAAAATAAAACAAAAACACCAGGGACGTTTGGTTTGAAGAAATGGTGTGTGGGAAAAGCCGGAAACAGACCATGCCAACCACAGCGTAAACACAATAGCAATATATTTTCACCATGCACAGGGACCCAGTTTAAAAATTACATCCCTTGCAGCACCGCTCCAAGGTCCGACGACAGATGCTGGTTGGTGACCTTAACCAGTTTGTCTCGCAACTCATCCTCGACAATACGCTTATTATTCCCCCACCAGCGCCTGGCCAGCCTGGTAGCGATCTTACGAGACGGGTATCTCAGCAAACTATCCAATAAACCAATAAAGCCTTTCAGTCGGAGATGCACTATGATCCGCGGCAGTTTGAACTGGATGCCGTGCCAGAGGGGCTTCACCGACAGGTTATCTCCCCGGCGCGTGATGCGGAGGCATTGCGTGAACAAGTCGGGCGGTGGGCTGATCGCAGCCGCCAGTCTGCGGACTCGCCTTGAACGGAAAGGCACTGGCGGCCACCACAGGAGGACGGTGCACCAACCGCATCTGCCGGCGGAGGTGATTGTCACTCGTGGCCAGCTCACCTTAAAGTTAATCGTGAGCTGGCCCCAGCTCCTTATGCTCGATGCTTCAACTGCTTGATGTCATATTTGGAGAGGGCCCCACAACGCTAATGCCCGTGAGATTCCACGCGAGGACCACACCCTTGCCGACGCGTCAGGAAGGCGCAGCGGGTCGATCTGGATCTTCAGTGTATCCCGATTCTGCTCCAGGATCCTCTTCAAGCAAGCGTTGAGCGAGGCGGCGTCGTGCAGCGCTACAGGCGAGGCAGCAACGTCGCTTGTATCAGCACCAGCAGAGCGCGGCCGCGAGCGCTGGCCCCGGCAAGCGTGCAGCTCCGCTGCGCTGGCCGCAGCTGGGCGTGCCTCATTCTCGGGCTGACGTGGAGAATGCCGACGGTCCGACATGGTGACACTGCCGCTCAGCTGCTCCTGCAAACACAGACCTACCACCAATCGCCGAATGCCATCGGACACTGGCCGTGCAGGGCGACATGCTGGTTGTAAAGGTCATACAGTTCTTTGGTTTTGTGTTGGCTCTGTGACGGGAGGTGTTTTTGTCAGCCGACAATGTGCTGAAGGCAAATTCAAACCAGTGTTGTGATTCAGACCAATGCCAGTTTGAAACCCAGCATAGTTGAAAAGAGTTGCGCAAACGCATTGCCGTTAGCAAATCGGGCAAGGATTGACGCGGCACACGTGCCGAGCGAGAAACGTTTAAAGCAAATTAGTTGGAAAAAACAATATAACAGAAAGCGACATAGTGTCTTCTTGGAGCTACTGTTCGTAAAAACTACCCACCAGGTCTCCAGTCAGTCACCACAATGCACAGCAGCTACGAGATACAGTTGCTTGATTGGCCCGAAAATTGAAAATGAATAAAGTTCCGACTTACCTAAACTGTTACATTCATGTTCTCTCTTGTTCCGGCTGACACCATGAGCTGTTTGTATGGCCTATATTATGTGAGATGAGGCTGTTTCTTCCACACTTGCATAACTGCGCCC